GTAGTCTGCTTTAGCCCCCACCGTGGGGTCACTTTTGTCTTCTCCTGCTGGAGACATGCAGTGGGAAGTTTGCAAAGCACTTCTGCAGCCTTGCCTCTGGCACAGCGTCTGTCCCATGGCAAGCATTCAACACATAACAAGATACTCAAGTACACAGTGAAATGAAGCGGATGCCAAGCAAGGCTTCCAAGAGTCCAGGTGGGCAAGTACAGAAGGTGGTTAGGAAAACAGAAAATAGGAATAAAGACATGGGCTTATGGAAGGATGCCTGGGGCCCTTAAATAACTCTTCCTGTTACCCAAAGACACAGCTGCGGGAAGGAAAATGAGTGTGGCTTTCTTCGTGTCTCCTTCCACTGCCTTTTTTGTACTGTCCAGCTGTGGTACAGAAGAGGAAAACCAGACCCAACGTGAGGTGCCCAACCTTGGGCCCTGCCTACACACAAAGACAGAAACAAAGCCCAAACAAGCAGCCCTATTTATTAAACACAAACCAAAGACTAATTTTTACAAAAGAGTAAACAAAAAGTGCTCTTAAAAAAACCAGTGAAAAGTTTTTTAAATGCATAAATTAGTACCATAAATTGCCTCAGAATATGTACATATCTAGGGAAGCTACAAAGGGCTGCCCTTGGAAAGGACAAACGCCACACTGAGAGGGAGGGGAATGTGATTGGAGAAAGGGGATTTGGGTCTTCAACTGTGCTAGTGATGATTTATCCCTAAGTGGAGGGGCCAGTAAATGAGAAGTTATTATTCTTTATTCTTTTCAATATATCTTCAAGATTTCATAATAATTTTTTAAACAATTAGTGCACTAAGTTTCCGAAGAGCCAAATCTACATTTTCCAAAATTAGTAAAGTAGAACAAAATCAGCATGTCAATGTACACTCCGGTAAAACATGAATTGATCCCATATTAAATCTGCTTCTAACTGTTGGGCAAATATGAAGATGTATTAGCTACAGCCTGTGTTTTGGAATCTAGCTATTTGAAGATGGACCAGTCCGGCCTGTTTCTCTTTTTAAACAACTACACCATATGGCTCCCACCATATTCTGGGAAATACCTGCAGAGGACAAAGGACAGAGAATGAGGTGGGATAAGGAGAAATTTCAGGCCAAATATATAGTAAAGCAAGAAAAATGTGGAATGAGAAACAGATCTTATCAGAATGAAGATCTTTTATCTGAGATTATTCTTAATTTCCCAATTTTATAAAACAAAACTTGCCAGAGCCTAACTCGTGCTTGAAAATGGTCCTCTTTTATAACTGGGGGTCCACTAATGACTGCTCCAGGTTAAGAACTCCAAAGACTAAAGCATGGGCCTTGGAGTCTGTCAGCCTGAGGTCTGAGGATACAGACACACGTGCAGTGGCAACCTCTCCAAGCTTCTGTGCCTTTCTCCAAGAAATGGACAAAGAATGGTACTTCTCTCAGAAAGTGGACACTACCCCACCTCCATACCTATGAATAACGGTCAATAACCTAAGAAAGGTTTTGAAAACCCTTTTAAGCTTTATTTACCCTAGTGTTTCGCGGACGTGACTAGGCACTTTCTTTTTCTCATAACCTATTATTAACATTCTATATATTTGGGGGAATAATGATTGAGAGATTCACAGATATATACAAATAAACTATCTTAGACGTTCATGCTAGTCAATGTGCATACCCGAAAGTAACATTTTCGTATATATACATAACATTGGGGAATAGCAAAAATATTATGTCCTTGCAGCAAAGGATTCTGTAAAAAAGTCGATTCTATTTTCTCGGTCTGGAAACAGGAAGTCTCTTCTGCACGCCTTCTACGAACCCTTTGAACTACTTGTAGCCTATAAGGAAAACATCTGGTTGCCTGTGATTTACACACAAAGGGAATGAGAGGAAACCCCTCAACTTCTCTTGTCACAAAGCTGGATCTGTTTTTTCCCCCAATGCTTCCCTAACCCAAAATAAAATGAACCACCACCTATGTTCTCAGACTTCCTTGCACACTGACACAGGTCTAGGACACAGAAAGGAAAGGGATGGCTCTTGTGTAGAGGTAGCTTTCTTTCTTTTTTTTGAGACAGAGTCTCACTATGTTGCTCTGGGTAGAGTGCTATAGTGTCACAGCTCACAGCAACCTCAAATTCTTGGGCTTTAGTGATTCTCTTGCCTCAGCCTCCCAAGTAGCTGGGACCACAGGCGCTCTCCCCAACACCCAGTTATTTTTTGTTGCAGTTGTCATTGTTGTTTAGCTGGCCCAGGCCAGGTTTGAACCCACCAACTTTGGTGTATGTAACTGGCACCATAACCACTGTGCTACGGGCGCCGAGCCTACAGGTAGCTTTCTAAGGTTTGGGGAATTACTAATACTTTGAGGTTGGAGGGAGAGGATGAGTATCTTAAGTATAAATAATTAATAGCAGCCAAGATGAACAAAAAAAGGGAACCTCTCCTGACCTCACTCCTACTTCCCATAGGATTTAGAACCCTGGGAACTTGAAACCAAGGAGTTCCCACATATTCACTGTAGCTGTCTGCCACTAATTACAGAGTCCTCTACAACACTTTCTCTTATTTTACTTATTTTATCAATCTCCCCCCAAAGTTCAAATCTACAGAAAAATTAAAAGAACAGTACAACGAACACCTGTTCACCCTTCTTTTTGCTTCACCGATTGTCACCATTCTGCCACATTTGCCACATTCTGAACTTGCTCTGTCACCCTGTATTTTTTTTCTAAAAAACGTTGCAGATGTCATGCCATTTCACATACCCACATCTCCAAAGAATAAAGATAACCTGATCTCATATACAATCACAGTACCATTACTGCACATAAGAAAATTAACAGTGATTCCATAATACCACCCGACATGCGGTCCATATTTAGATATCTCCATTGTCTCCAAATTGGCTTTTATACCTATTTTTCTTTCTTTTAGAATTCAAAGTCCACACATCCCAACTCATCTTTACACCACTTGAATAATTTAACCTACATTTCTACACTCTCCCACCCCCCAGTATTTTTTTTTTTTTTTTAGACGGAGCCTCAAGCTGTCACCCTGGGTAGAGTGCCGTGGCATTACAGCTCACAGCAACCTCCAACTCCTGGGCTCAAGCGAGTCTCCTGTCTCAGCCTCCCAAGTAGCTGGGACCACAGGCGCCAACCACAACACCCGGCTATTTTTTGGTTGCAGCCATCATCGTTGTTTGGTGGCCTGGGCTGGATTCGAACCCGCCACCTTAGGTGTATGTGGCTGGCGCCCTAGCCGCTTGAGCCACAGGCGCCGAGCCACCCCCCAGTATTTTTGGCGAGAACACTACACAGGTGAAGTTACAGCCTTCTTATGACATCTCAACAGGAGATTCATAATAACTGGGGTTAAACTTGATCATTTGGTTAAGGTGGTGACCTCCTAATCTCTTAAAATTGTAAATGTACATTTTTCCCTAAGTAGTCTGTAGTGAGATACTTTGAAATAATGTAAAAAATCCTATTCCCCAACCATCTTTCACTTAAAGGTTTTGTACTAGTTGGTGAGTCCCTACCTGAATCACCTGTTATGTTAGGGTTTGCGCAGTGCTGAGTTTCTGATTCTCTCCTCCCTTCTATTGTGTATTCCCTTTTCACACAATGACCCATCAGTGCCATCCTCTCTTTTCTTAGTGTAGGGATGCTCTGGTTACTTCTTGCTGGGGCAGCCTCCCCCACCTCCTTGCTGACCACATTCCACTGTTCAAGCTCAGTCCTAGGGATTGACTAACCTTTATCTACTGATTCCATCACTTCACCTTCAGCCAATAAAAAACAAAAGCCACTACAGTTATGCCTACCAACTTACAGTCATTTACAAAAATTAAAATGGCTGTTATGCATATTCATTGGGTTAGACTGAAGAGGGTAAACAGAGGAAATCAGTTTTATTTTGTAAAAATGCTGATATTTTGCACGAGCCCTGAAAAATCTTTCCTTCTCACCAGTGCAGAGTCACAATCAGGCTTTTTGTAATGGTGTTAAACAGAAGCACCCTCATCTCTTCAGTCCCCTGACATAAGAATCTTGGAAGAATAGAGGTTTAGAAATCATTTCGCCCAAATGCCCCATTTTACAAGCAAAAAAAGAGGCTCAGAAAGATGGAGGGCCTTGCCCAGGGTCCATGAGCTTCTTAATAGTGGAGCTAGGACGGAAAGGTGGTTTTTGAAATACCTCCTTTTCCAATATTCTTTTCATTCCCTTCACAAGGGTCTTGTGATTCAGACGTTTAATGGGCACAGAGGAAACCGTAGCATTCACGGCCGCTTTCACTGCTGATTTGCATTTTGATCCGATCACCTTTCTACCTTCAAATACTTTAAGTAAAAATTCCCATTAGGAGCTTTTCATTATTATTATTTAAAAAATCAACCTTCATGTATGCAGGCCAAGAGGGAAAATTTAGGAAGCCTCAAGGGAGCACATACTACCAGTAACTTTAAAGGAAAAAAGATAAAAAATAAGAGTGTCTCAAGGACCTGCATCAGGCTGCTTTCTGGGAGGCTGAAATGCCCTGCGAGTGACAGCTCCAGAGATCTTAGAAGACGCCGGCTGGAGCCCAGCCTTCCTCGTCGCCTGCTTTAACGAGGCAGGGAGATGAATAAGACTCTAGGAGCTTATCAAACATTCGCAGGAGAGGAGAAAGTGGGGAACAAAGCCCAGCGTGGAAAAACCCAGCCCCGCAGCCCTGGAGGACAGGAGACCGCGCCCTCGCCGCTGCGGCCCAGCGGGCTGCAGAGGCTGCGGCACCGCAGTGCGGGACTCGGGACCCACCCCGGCGGGCGCCTCCCGCCCGCACCGCCCGCGCGCAGCGCCCGGTCGCCCTGAGCAGCCCGCCTGGCCGGGAGCCGAAGCCGCGGAGCATCCCCCAAACGGCAAGGAAGGCGCGGCGACCACCGCATTCCCGGCCGGGGTCTGCAGAGAGCGGCGGGCCCGGGCCGGCCCCTCCCGTCCCCGGCTCGCTCACCCGTCCGTGCGCCCATCCCGGAGCCGGCGGTCAGGGCGGTCAGTCCGTCAGCCCCGAGGTGGCGGGGCCGGACGAGCAGGGGCGGCGCCGCGGCCGGGGCGAGCGCGCCGATCAACAGGCGGCTCCGGCCGGGCGCGCGGCTGCAGCGGAGCAGGCTGGGAAGCGTAGTCCCGGCGGCGCGCGGAGCACGACCCCCACCCCCGCCGCGCGCTCCGCGCCCCGCGCCCCGCCTGCCCCGCCTGCCCCGCTCCTGGAGTCGGCGTCTCGACCCGGCAACCGTCTGCGGGGGCGAGACGCGCGCGGTGGGGAGCGCAGGCTTTCCGGCTTGGGAGGCGCGTTTGGGGGAGCGAGCATCTTGACGTGGAGCCTGGTTGAGACCCGGCTCAGGTACACACACTCCAGGCGGCCGCAGGTTTTATTGGCCCGCAGGGGCGCGGGAAGGAGGAGAATGGGGCTTAGTTGCCCGGGAGGGAGCTAACCGAGGTGGGATGGAGCCAGGCTGATCTAAAGTTAAGGCGTGAGGGTGTTGGAGAAGCCCACAGGGGTGCCTTCACTACATGGGTGACGGGACAATTCAGCCTCAGTGAGCCTTAGTGTCCACACCTGTAAAAGAGGCTTAGAGCTTGAAGACGCGTTGTGAGGCTGGAAAACCCCCCAGCAGGTACCTGTGCGTGGCTCTCCGTAAAGGCTCTAACTTCGGAGTTATGAGGGGTTGGTTCTTGGGCACACTTCTTGCTGGAAAGCCCTACGGAGGTAATGCTGTAGTCCTCGTTGGACTGGGTAAATGTTAAAACCTACCCGGTTGCTGTCAGTCGTGTAGTACTAAATATGTACTGCTGGGTTCTTGGGAGCTACAAAGATAGAGAAAAAAACTATCTTGTTTATGAAGCACGAAAATAGGATGCAGTGACATAGGACAAAAACCAAAATTATGAAAATACATGGCATCGTAGGGTTACCTTCCAGAAGCCATTTCTACAACTACATATGGTCTCTCTCCCTCCCCTCCCACCCACCCCTCGACTTCCCTTCCTCTCCTTTTTGACCCTTGCTGCACACTGTAAGCATATATAACCTTTGCTTGGGACACTTACCTTGACAGTGTAAGGTATGTTGAGCTTTGCCAGTTGCCACTGTGCAGTGTTTAGCATTATGGGAGTGGAGGGAAATGAACCAAAGGGATGTAGCATGGCTAGTGTAATCGCTGTCCGAAATAGGCAAAAGGTGAATGGAGGTGAAACAGCTTTATTGTCTGGCAGGAGCTGTGCAGTAATCATGGGGCCAGAAAAAAAAAGTGTCGCAGTGGAAATTCCATATTTGAAAATAACATCCCAGGCTCGGCGCCTGTGGCTCAAGTGGCTAGGGCGCCAGCCACATACACCTAAGGTGGCGGGTTCGAATCCAGCCCAGGCCGCCAAACAACAATGACAGCTGCAACCAAAAAAAAAAAAAAAAAAAAGAAAGAAAATAACATCCCAGTTTGATGAAAAGTATTTCAAATTGTATATAAAACCAGCACACTGTACCCCATGACTGCATTAATGTACACAACTATGATTTAATAATAAAAGAAAAGAACATCAGTTTTGCATTTGTGAAAATACTTTTCTATTCATGTTCTCATTTGATTTTTGCAACAATCCTGTGAGATGGGCAGAGTGAGGATTTTTTCTCGTGACAGGAGTGAGAGGCACAGAGAGGTAATATGACTTATTCAGCGTCACCCAGCTGGCTGTTAAGCTCATCTTCTTTCCTTCTGTGGGCACCCTCAGCTCTATCTTTCCTTTGAATATTTCAAAGCAGGACCATACCTTTCCGAGGGGATGAGCTGAATCAGAAGGTAAAGTAAATTCTTGAAAACTCGTGGCCCTAGCATAATGAACACTGGCACACAATGGCTGCTGAGAGGCCAATGTTTCCACTATAATTTGTGGTAATGGACTATACCCTGGGCCGCCTCAGAATGGCAAATATGAATTGCAAGGACTTAAATGAAATGGAAGTGTGGCCAAACCAGTTTAAATCAGGTGAGTTTTCCTGTACATTTATTATTTCAAACCTCCTGTGTAACAGACAGGACATTCATGTTGTACATTTGTTACATTCAGATCCTTCTGTTGAATAAGAATGGGGCTCTTGACAGGTCAAGCCAGAAGTTTTCCCCAGAGAAGGCTGATAACAGACATATACTAAAAATAATAGTTATTCCATTCATATTGGAAGAAAGAGTAGCATAGGTACCCTATAGTACTCTCTGTCTCTTTGGTTTCCTATGGTTCCCCACAAGGAAAATGGCAGCATGTGATAAAACAAATAGAACATTACTTCAGAAACAGGCTGTGAAAGGAAGTGGACAGAAAAATGATTTACGTTAAAGTCATAGTTGGTAGCCGAAAGCAGAGATGCAAGAGCCATCCCACAGTCCTAGAGCCATGTATATAAGCTGCAGGAGTATGATGGCACCAGACTAAAGAGAATGAGTTGTGAAAAGGACCTTCTGACCATTCTCTGTCTGTGTGATGCAGACTGAAGCTAGTAGGTGTCAATGGATGAATGAGGAAAGTGGAACACTTAACCTAATGTTAAAACTTAATGGAAAGATATTACCTGTTCCGGTTTGTTTAGTTATTTAAATCTAAAGTGTGTGTCTTATTTTAAGATAAGATTTACCAGTTGAAACCCATCATCATTTCTGGACCATATCTTGTAGGCTTAACTTTTCAACTTACTTTTTAGATAAGGAAGCTGCTAACATTGCCAGTAAAATCTGACATGGTGGAAAGTAAAGCAAATTCTAAGTGGCAGTTATAATGAAATATTTTAATTACTCATGGTCGAATATGTAGCATGCCTCATTAGGAACAAGTAGTAAATGCGGTTGCCTACCTAACATCCACCCCACCTTCTCCTTCAGCTTTACGGAAGCTTATGTATGGGCGTTCATCCACCAGGGTTAGTGATCTCATTACCATCTCAGAGGTACATTCCTAAACCTACCATGGGCCAAGGGAATAGGATCCTCTTAACTGGTCTGAAAGAGACTGAGAGTGAGCATGTGACCCAGTTCTAGGCAGTGAGATCTGAGGAGAGATCTGTTGAAAGAACTTCTGGGAAAGGGTTTCTTGCTCTTAGACACAGACATACTGGGAAACATTACATTGTCTTCACTGGAAGTTGTTGCATCTGGCTGTTTCTAGCCTTAGGAAGAAGGCTACAAAGCCAGCACAGGGATGATGGCAGAGTAAAGACAGAGATGAATGTGAGTCTGTGATGTTATGAGTCAGTAAGTCAATCAGCCGTGGTGCTGCCCTACTTCGGGATTTCTTGTTACATGAGATGATAAATATCCTTATTGTTGAGTCAATTTGAGATGGTGTGGAAGCTGAAAACATCCTAAGTGTTCAGTTGAGATATGAATATATGTTTTTTGGGATGGACTAAGGGACTTCTTCCTAGACTTGATAAAAACAAACCACTGTAAACCACAAGCAAAGGAAATGTGAGGGGATATTATCACATAACAGATAATATCATAGGTTTTAACATCATGCAGATTTGAGTTTGAACCCAGATATTTACTGATGGTTTAACTGTGGCCATCAGTTAAACGGAAAACTGTGTTTTCTTTAACCCCCACCAAGCCTCAGTTTTTTCATCTCTAAAGTAGGGATAGTAATACTTAGCACATGGGGTTTTTGTGAAGATTCAATGAGATAATTTGTATCAAGTATACTACAAAGGATATGGTGGTTACTAAGGTTACTAAGGGCTAAAGAAGTGGCAGACTGGGGCAGTGCCTGTGGCTCAAAGGAATAGGGCACTGGCCCCATATGCCAGAGGTGATGGGTTCAAAGCCAGCCCTGGCTAAAAACCGCAAAAAAAAAAAAAGAAGAAGTGGTAGTCTGTGTTGATGAACTGTGAATTAAATGGTTTTTATGCTTTAATTATCAGCAAGCATCTACAAGCAAATCATTGTGTAATAGTGATCATGTTAAATGACACTACAGTGATGCAATCAGCAAAATCCAGTATGTGGTAAACTATGTGACAACCTGGTTTCTTCAATAAGTAAATTGCAAGAAAAGTAAAAGAGGGAGGGAAATATTACAGGTATATAGAGATATAAGAGACAACCAAATGTAAAGTACAAATTTTGATTTGAACAAAGAAACTATTAAATCACATTAATGAGATAATTGGCAGAAATATGAACACAGGATATTTGATTATATTAAGGTATTATTTAAAATTTTCTGGTTGTGATAACAATATCTTAATGTTTTTTCCCCCAAATCTTTATCTTTTGGAGGAAAAAAACCTGAGTATTTACAGAGGAAATAATATCTGGGATTTGCTTTTGAAATTATGCAGTGTAGATGCTGGGGTAGAATGGCAGGGTAGGGGTAGATGAAACAAGATTGGCCATGAGTTTATAGTGGTTGAAGCTGAGTAATGAGACTTTATTAAGTCATTCTCTCTCAATCTTTCTTTTTAAAAATATGTTTTTGTTAAGATATAGTTCATGTACCATAAATTCACCCCTTTAAAGTATACAGTTTGGTGGTTTTTATATTATATTCACAGAGTTGTATAACGGTTACCCAATCTAACAGTAAAACGTTTTTAAAACCACAAAGAGAAACTTCGTACACATCCATTTGCCTCACATATCTAGACCCAGGCAACCGTGAACCTTTTTTACGTCTTCTCTAGATGTGCTTATTCTGGACATTTCACGTAAATGAAGTCATACAACGTGGTCTTGTGTGACTGGCTTCTTTCACATATAATGTTTTGGGGGTTCACCTGTGTGTAGCATGTATTAGTACTTTATTGTTTTTTATGATCAAATAGAACTCACTTTGTGGATATAACACATTTTGCTTATCTGTTCATCAGTTGATGGGCATTTATTATAGATGGCTTCCACATTTTGGTTGTTATGAATAGTGTTGCTATGTACATTTGTGCACAAGGTTTTGTATAGGCATATGTTTTCATTTCTTTTAGGCATATATCTAGGAGCAAGATTGCTGTGTCCTATGACAACTTTATATATAATATTTTGA